TCGATTTCTTCCCATTCACCACCCATACCGAAGAAACAAGAAATTGTTCAGGCACAAAAGGGTTGTCAGAGACACTCCTCCTCCATATTTAACTGGAGAACAAATCGAAGCGCAAATCGATTACTACTGTGCTCTAGAAACAGCTCCTCGTGGTGGGAATTGGCATGTTCCCAGTAATATGCCTGATTCTTATGGTGTTGAGCACAATTGGCACAAAAAGAGTATATTTTGAGAATTGCCATATTGGAAATATCTTCTTTTGCGCCACAACCTCGATGTGATGCATATAGAGACAGAATTTTTTGAGAACATCATGAACAATATATTGAATGTCCCAAGGAAGACCAAAAACAACGTAAAATCAAGGTTGGACTTACGCGATATCTGCTCAAGGAGTGAGCTACATATAAAAAGCAATGGGCAAGTTTCAAATCTCTCAAGATGTGTTGAGAAAGGGCAAAAGTTCTCCGGGATGAAGAGCCATGATTGTCATGTCTTTATGCAGCGACTACTTCCCTCTGCGTTTGCGGAGCTACTACCGGAAAAAGTACATGAAGCACTTTCAGGTAATTAATTAATATAATACGATGACATGATTAATTTATTTATATATATATACTAATGTGGATAATTTTTGTTTGCGTATATATATAAGGAATTAGAGCTTTTTTTAGGGATCTTAGCACCCGCACTCTTAAAGTGGAAGTTGTCCAACAATTTCATGAAAACATCCCCGTCTTAATCTGCAACTTGGAGAAACTATTCCCGCCTACTTTTTTCGTCGTCATGGAACACCTAGTTGTCCACCTCCCGTATGAGGCATTACTTCGTGGACCGGTGCATTATGGATGGATGTATCAGTATGAAAGGGCAATGACAACTTTGAAAGGAAAAGCCAAAAACCTAGCAAGAGTTGAAGGTTCTATTGTTGCGGGAAGTTTGACGGAAAAAACATCACATTTCACTTCGTACTACTTTGCACCGAAAGTACGTACAAGGAAACGAGCTCCAAGAAGATATGATGATAGTGGTGTCGTGCCGACATATATGGAAGACGATGTTCCAAACATCTTTTGTCAAATTGGGCGATTGGGTGGGAAATTGAAAGAGGTTTGGTGGTCGAGTGATGAACACGTCCATAGTGCACACCTTTATATTCTTCTTAATTGCGAGCATCCATTGATTGCTTATTTTGAAAGGTAAATATATATCTGGTATATCATATATGATTTTACAGTCAAATTGAGACTGAAGTCGAGGAAGCAATACCTGGTATATCGACAACTGAGTTAGACAAAAGGAAAGATCAACACTTTATCAAGTGGTTGAGAAAACATGTATTTATTTATTACTTAAATTGTATGCATACATTACCACAAAGTAAGTCTAATGTCTAATTATTTTACTTTTTGTTGCAGGTTAATTATGACGATCCTGAGTATCCCGCATGGTTTCGCGAATTACTTCAAGGTCCAGTTGCAAAGGTCACTACATCGTCGATGTATTTCACCCGAGGCTATACTTTTCATACCTATGACTATGGTAGACACCGGGCGACAAGTAATTATGGAATATGTGTGAAAGGCGAAACAGATTTCTACGGGATCTTGCAGGAGATTTATGAAGTTCNGGTTTCGCGAATTACTTCAAGGTCCAGTTGCAAAGGTCACTACATCGTCGATGTATTTCACCCGAGGCTATACTTTTCATACCTATGACTATGGTAGACACCGGGCGACAAGTAATTATGGAATATGTGTGAAAGGCGAAACAGATTTCTACGGGATCTTGCAGGAGATTTATGAAGTTCAATTCCCGGGTATGGGTTTAACATGCGTTATCTTCAAGTGTGAGTGGTACGACCCCGTCGTAAACAGAGGTGTTCGGATTAACAAGAACGGTGTAGTTGATGTCAACGGTGGACGAATGTACAACAAATTCTTTTTTTTTTTAATATCCAGGTTTCCAGTATTAATTAATTTTTACATATTGATCTTTATTTTTCGTAGGTACAACAAGTTCGAGCCTTTCATATTAGCTTCCCAAGAAGATCAAGTTTGCTTCATTCCATACCCTC